AGGAATGAAACTGCTGAGCTGGCAGCTGGCCGGCGTCTCAGCTGCAGGCAAATAAGCAAACTCACTCTCACTTCCCTGCGCTCATATTTAACCGGTTCCTGGTGGCGGCGGTGGCAGGTTCAATCCCAGGGGATTGACCTTGGAGAGGTAAATGCTCTTTCTACCTATAAGCCACATCTCCAGCCCCAGTTTACATCCCTGCAGGAATGCCACCTTAACGACTGTGCCCACACATGCTTAGGACTATTTTGTGCCAACTTTACCCCTCGCCTCCCATTATTTTTTTATTGTCCCTCACTTCGTGCCCTGCATTTGGGCTGTGGGCAGAGATGCTAGGCAGGTAGTCTATTGGATGACAGAGGGCAGAGCCTGCGAATAGAAATCCCTAGTGGGAAGGACCCTGACTCAGAGAGCCCAGGGAGAGCAGCCAGCTGGGGTCGGGATTTGATGTTTGAACAGTTCTCCAGGGCTTACTAAGTAGACAGTGGGAGACAGGAAATCCCAGTCAAGGAAAGTAGAAAGCATAAGAGCTTGAAATGACATTGATGTGAGTGGGAAAAGAGAATACATTACTCGAGATTGAGAGTTTATGAGAGGCGATTATGGACCAGCTCACGCTGGCCTTGTAAGTTGTGCTTTGTAATTTAGACCGTGCCCTCCCAACAGAGTGTCCGGGGAGCTGAGGAGGGTTTTCATCAGGGCTCTGATTTGTGTATAAGAAGGGGAGGGCATCTCATCTGTCCTCCAGCACCTTTGTAATGCAGACAAGACACACGATCACCGTTCACTATCTGAGAACGCTCAGGTCCCAGAGGCCTCAGGAGCCGGAAGGGAGAGGGCCCAGAAGTGACTTGGCTTCCTGGCTTGGGATCTTTTGCCCTGATACACCTCCATTGTTCATAGTTTGGAGAAACTGCCTGCCACTGGGTGGTGGGTAGGCACTGGGGGGAACGAGATGAAGCAAATGGCCATGTGTGCACTCTCACTGGAGGAGTGTGGCCTTGCTTGTGGTGTCCAGAGTCCCCACCTCTGTGCCGGAGCACAGAGAGGGAGTAGCCATGGGCAGCTCCATGCACACAGCTCGGCTGGCCTGGCAAAGTCCGTCCATCACTTTCTCTCTCGTGAACTCAGCGCAGCAACTATGGTGTGGGACCAGCACTTAGCTGTCGTTGGCTGGCTTCTGGAAGCTTGATCCCTGACGCTGGTCAGCTTCAAGTCATGATCCCAGGCTGGCCCCCAACACACAGGTGTAAGCCCTTTGCCCTCTGTGTGTGTTTTATGAACTGAAGCTTTTTGTTTGTTTGTTGTTGTTTTTTTTTTAAGGTAACATGAAGCAGAAGTAAAGGATGTAGCTTGTAGATCAGCCAAACTGAGATTATACTTCTGTTGCTGCCTCCTTAACTCACTGTGGAAGTCATTGAATATGTATGAGTCTCGGGCTCCTCGGCTCTAAAATGAGCAAAGCCAAACATACCTGGAAAGATGTCTGTGATGATTAAAATGTGCCAATGTTTCAAAAGTGCCCTGGAGCACAGCCTGGCGCACATGAGTCCTTGGGTTATGGCAGTTTTAATTATTGTCCTTATCACTGTCACCACACCACACTGCTGCCACCGCAGTGAAAGAATGTTCTGGAAAGAAAGACCAGTGGGAACAAAATGCCTTCTATTCCTACTGCTAGGTTGCAGTTGCCCTGTTAATTTACTCTTTTTACCTTTGGAGTTCTAAACACACAAGATTTTATAGTCAATTGGCTTTTTTCCTATGTGGAGGGAACTGCATCATAATTTTTAATAGTTCCCCCCTTTATAAGAATACTGTATTAAGACTTAGAAAGTGAAAGAAAAACCATACTCCCAACCCCCCCACACACACACACCAGAGACAGGCATTATCAATCTGATATCTTTCAGTCAGTTTTTTTTCATGTTTCATTATAGAGTGGATATTGCATTATGGATACAATTTTTATGTGATTTTTTTTCCAGTTCACACGATATTTGGAATATTTTCTTAGTGTAAGCATCATTTTCCTAGGCTGCTCAATAGTCCATCAAATAGCTTTACCACAATTTACATAAATATTTGTTTACCAATAGACATGAAAGCTTTTTTCTGTTCATCAGTATAAGTTGCTCCCTGTAACAAACAGACTTAGGGAGCCAGCCTCAGTATAGCCAGGAAGATTAAGGTGACCTCTTACTGTGCCTTTAGTCTCCAGTGAGTCATCATGGGAGATTCAGGTCAGTGACAAACCACCTCAAGCTTAGACACAGTCTGGAGCCACTTCCTGAGGGGCCTCTCCGCCACACCCTGTCAGGGTCCATGTAATGTGTGTAGTACCCTCCACAGGGTTGACTCTGGGACATGGGATCCCAGCTTTGTGCAGGGCAAGACCTAGGAGCCCCGGCTGCCCTGCACACCCACTGCGCTCAGAGCCTTGAGTGCCTCCCTGTGGTCGGAACCTTCCTGTCCACTGGGGCATTGGACAGGAGCTTGTCAGAGTCATGGTGGTTCCAGTGTTTTTTAAAAGTACTTCGTGTTTATGGCTGCTTTGCTTGTGTGTGTGTGTGTGTGTGTGTGTGTGTGTGTGTGTGTGTGTGTATTATTATATGCCCTTAGAAGCCAGAAAAGGGCACCAGATCCCCTAAAACTAGGATCATGGACAATTTGAGCCATTATGTGGGTGCTGGGAATTGAATTCAATTCCTCTAGACGAGTGGCCAGTGCTCTTAACTGCTGAGCCATTTCTCCAGCTCCTCTAGTCTTTCTTTTAATTAACAGATATTTATCTGTTATATATATTTGTCATGTACAACATGAAGTTTTTAAGCAAGTACACAAGTCAAGCTAATTTATGTATTATTTCCCATACTTGTCATTTTGTGGTAAGAAAGCTTAAAATATACTCAGTGTTTTTCTTTCTTTCTCTCTCTCTCTCTCTGTGTGTGTGTGAGTGTGTGTGCACACGTGCATATTCACGTTTACATGGATGTAGACATACACGGGTGTGGGCATGTGTGTACATGCGTGTGTGTATGTGTGAAGTCCTGAGGCTGGTGTTAAGAATCATCTTCCATTGCTTTTCCGCCTTATTCATCGAGCCAGGGTTTCTCAAATCAAATAAAAAGAAAATGTCTTTACAATCCAGCTTGCTTTAGGGATCTGTCATCTCCACCTTCTGAGATGGAGTTGTAGGTGGTTTACCATGTCCACCCTGTGTTGATGTGGGTTATGGGGATCTGAACTCACAAGCCTCATGCTTGCTTGCACAGCAAAGGCTTTAACTTCTGCTACTCGGCATTTTTCAAGAATGTAACATAATATTATTAATTACAGTCATTAGTGGGCTCTAATGTGGATGAACTCAAAGAATACTCTTCTAAATGAAGTAAGCCAGGTGCAGAAAGGCTAGATGATCTGACTCTTGTGGAATCATTCCTGTTGTCATGAAAGTTCTCACAGTTAGACTTGCCCTGGAACCCAGGACAAATCATCTCCTCTTGCCAAGCCTCATCTCCATCCTGGTAATGCAGCTGATGTGCATGGCCCTTCTCACATCAACATCGAGAGTACCTGCCCCCTTCCTCAGGCCTGAGGTTAAAATGAGCATTCTGATACAGCTCGCACACGCTTCTCCAGAGTCTAGAGCTCTTAATTAGCATCCATGGAGCCACAGCCTTCCCACTCCGTTACTTCTTCCTGACAGCAGACTGAAGGGGTAGAAGTATCTGCCAGTGGTTGGAGAAACTGAGTTCAGAACCCTCAACGACCAACTGTTTTCTTTCTTTCATGCATTTGGTACTTTTATTCTTCCTCTTGCTTGTCAGATATTAACTGAGCCCCGGGATTTGTACATTTCACAAGTGCAATGCAGAGGGGAGACACAGCTGTGTCCTCAGGGGGCATGTGTCTAATGCAGAGACCAGAGGAAACATTAAATGACAAGGTGCCTGCTGCAGTGTGATACCGGATGGATGGGCACAGTGACGGAGTACTTGAGTCAGCCTAACCGCTGCAGCCAAGGGGTCCAGAAGTGCTCCGAGAGAACAAGTGGATAGAGCCTTGTGCGTAGGCAGCTGGGAGAGGCCATTCTGGATGGATGGACGGGCATGTACAAGAGAACACACAAGCACTAGAGAACACTGTGTTCAGAGGCCACAGAGAGCCTGGGCTGGACGGGAAGGGCCAGAGCAGAAGCATCTGCTTCCACTGACATCTTGGCTGTCACTAAATGACAGCAATGGTCTTTTTAGTTCCGTATTTAAATATTGCTGTCTTCCCAGTTTTTTTTTTTTTTTTTTTTTTTAAGTAGCATGTGCATTATAGAAATTTTGAAAAAGTGCTGGGTATACAGCCCAGGCATCTCAGCCCTTGGGAGGTAGAAACTGGAGTTTAAAGGCCAGCTTGAACTACAAGAGACCCTGTCTAAATTTGTGTGTGTGTGGGGGGGTGCTAGAGAGATGGCTTGGTGATTAAGAACACTGACAGAGGACGCAGGTTCTATTCCTAGCACCCATATGATAGCTCTCGACTGTCTGAAACTCCCATCCTAGGGGACTCACCGTCCCCTTCTGGCCCATGCATGCACACAGTGCACAGCCATGCAGGCAGACAAACGCCCATACACATAAAGCAAAATGAAAAAAAAAAATTAAAGACATAAAACTAATTAAAAATTTTAAGTAGAAAAGAAGAAAGTTGGAGAAGTAAAAAGTAGAAAGAAAAAATTTACTGGTAGTCGAAGTGGCTACAACTTAGGCAACTTTAACATCTTGATGCATTTCTATTCAATGTTTTTCACACTGACTTTTTATATAACTGTGCATGTTATAATTATAATTTTAACCTTTGTATATGGTGCTCTTTTCTACATTTTTCTAAGATTTACCAAAATGAATGTGCATGTCATTATAAAATAACATGATCATAAAACATACTGGCTGAGATATCTATACATTTTTTTTTTCTAATAGCATATATTTTCTTTACTTTTACAGATTTCTTGTGGCTCAGAGCACAATTTGGCAGTAATTAGTAAGTAACCTTTACACTGATAACAGTTGATTGTGAAACCCATGTAACAGAATTGGAGAAGACTCTTTGGGGAGCCAGGCGTAGTGGTGTGGGTCTGTAACCCCAGCATTCCAGCAGCTAAACACAAGTTCTAAGCCAGTCTGAGGTATATAGGGAGACCATGTGCTGTGTGTGTGTGTGGGGGGGTATTTTGGGAAGAAAGCATTTATTAGAAGCCCGTTTTATGAACATTTAAGACTGTATCATTGAGTCTCTTTTGAAGGTTCCTGAGTGTCTCCTGCCTCAGAAAATGACATTTAAAGATAATGAGACCTAAAACTGAGGAGTGGGTTGGACACTTCCGGATCTCTGGATAAAACCATTCTAGAAAGTTCTTTTCTCTTGCCTGGCCGTGCCTTTGGAAGCACGGGGCTTGGCTCACTGCCCTTGTTGCCTGGTATACAAGCTGCACTAGGGAGCTCCCAGTCAGACATGAACCTGGCTCATTGAGACTTCCCTTAGTTGGCTCTAGATAATGCAAGTTCAAGGTTTTCACGGTTACACCCAAGAGTAATTCATTCAGGAAAGCTGTCTCGTACTTCCCCTGGTCCGTTCTGGCTGAACTACACTATGTGGCAGCATGGGCTGCTTATGCTCTTGCTGCTCACGATCCTTCACCCCATATGATTCCACACGTGCATGTGTGTAAGGTACACGTACAAATTAGACAAATACTGCCAATAGCTCATAAAGAGATGTATCTTAAAAGCCGTTCTTTGGTATACATGAAATTTTACTATTAAAGAACAAAGCAGTCTTGTGCGTTAATGACATGGGTATGCATGTTTGTTTCTACATACAGAGAGAGTTAAGTCTCAGATGAACGTTTGATATTCAGTGTCGTCAGTAATGAGAACACCATTTCCCATAAATACCCAGTACAAAACAGCAGTATGTTTAGAACCATTGCAAAAACTGTTGGAAATTTCTGTCCTAAGCCAAAATTCACTTAATGATGTTTAAAGCTTTATTTGGGGGTGTGGCGGGGGGGGGCATACTTAGCACTTATTTCAGAGATCAAAACTTAGGTCTTTAGGCTTGGCAGCGAGCTCTTTTACTCACTGAGCCATCTGGTCAGTTCTGTTTAATGACTTAAAAGAAAAAAAAAATCCAAATCAGCAACATACATGGCAGTTTTTAAAATCAAACATTGCAGCGTAGCCCAGCCCAGCCACTTTGATACTGCTGAGACGTGACAGTGGGAAGAACTAGAGAAACTCTTTGTTCTCATACTTTGACATCATGCTTCTAAAAGAGCAGAAACCAATTTCTGTCACAGGGAGGCTGAGCCTAGGTTTTCGGGGCGGTGTTTGTCGGCCTTGTCACATGTTCAGAATCTAGGCTGCAGTGAGATCACATGATACAACATGGGCTGACACTGCCAGTGACACCTTAGCTCCATTGCTTATTTGATTTTGAAATAATGTATTACTGTGTGCGTTCAGAAACCTTTTTACGCCTGCCATATTTTTCACAAGCCCCGCGTTCAGTCACTGTACCCCATCTGAGGTTGTCCCCACAGTTTAAGAAGCTGGGCGGTAAGGACAACAGTGTCGTGGTAAGGTTTCCCAAGTTCGGTGCAGGCTCCCGTGCCAGCGGGAGCTCAGACAGGGTGTTTAACCCTCTCTGCCTCGTTTTCCTTGCCACTAAAGCAGGGGTGGCCGGCACATGGTGCTATGTGGCGGGGTATGGGCTGCACTTGCAGAGAACCCCTCTTCGGTCCCCTGCAGTCCTGTCCGGCAACCGACAGCCGCCTGTAACTGCAGCGCCAGGTGATACAAAGCCCCTTTTCTGGCCTTCATAGACCCTGCAGGCACCTGTACAAACACATATCATATGCACATCATTACAACGGAAAGTAAAATCTTTAAAAAAACAAGTTTTTAAAAAATGTCGGTTGCTGTGGTCTGGCTGTAATTGAGAGAATGTAAAGCAGCACCAGTCACTGCTGCTGTCACTGGCTGGGAGAAGACAGTTTCCCCTGGGAGCAGCATGCATGCAAGTCAGCCGCAGGAGAGGGCCCAAGCTCGCAGAGCTGGAAGCTGGAGGACAGAGGCAGCCTGGGGCCTGGGACGAGCAGAGCCGGCCAGCAGACAGCCATGAGTCAAACCAACCCCACCTCAGTGTGAACTCCATTCCCTCCTCGTCCGTGCAATGGGGATGGTAATTCCTAAGTGCGGGGCTATTGTGCACATTGGGCAAGCTGCCTCTTTTGTCTGCTTCTTTGCTTATGATTCCAGTGAAGTGTTCCCCTGTTGGGGGAGGGAAATGAAGATATTTTGGGAAAGAGGGTGTCCCATGTTATCTTAGTAAGGCTGTCAGGGTCAGTGGGGAGGACTGGACAAGTGTTTGAGGGTTAGGGTTAGTCCACACGTGATGGACTCGGAATACTTTCAGAAAATGCTGCAGTGGAACCAGAAGAAACCAGACTTTGTTCACGGGCAGGAGCTTTAATGGCTAGCAAGCATGTACTGACCAGAGAGCCTGGAAAGGGAATTGGGGCAGAGAACTGTGGAAGGGTGGCATGGAGGATGTCTCTATCTTAGGAAATAAACCCAACTCCACAAAGTGAATGTGTTCTAACCCGCTTTATGGACAGCTGGGACTCGGGGATGCGGTAGGTTAAACAGGGTTCCCAGACGTGTACGTGGTCAGGCTCTCACCTGCCTCTAAGACTGTTTTCCACCTACCGTGTCCTGTGCCTGAAGCTGTACCAGGCTGTGGTTACACTACCGACCTCACACAGTTGTGAGTAGAATGCTGACCGCCACAGAAGTGAGGGTGTGATTTGCTGTTATGTTTAGCTGTTGTGACCTCATAGAAGGGAGTGGTTATAATCGACTGTAAGGACTTGAGACCCAGGGGCCCCGAGAGCTATAGAGGATGGAGAAAAAGGCGTCTTCACCCTGGATGTCAGTGTCCTGGACAAAGTCTGCATGTTGCTGCAGAGGCCATGGTGAGAAGAATCCTGACCCTGTCTGGGTCCAGACATCTCAGTGCCAGCCCAGGTTTGTTCCCAGTCAGGATTTTGCTACCCATTTCCCAGACAGGGGTCCAGGCTCTGCCTGTCCAGCCTAGGGGCAAGTTTCTTGGCAGCCACTTTTCAAAAGCCTTCTCCAAAGAAAAGAATTCTACATAGTGACTTTATCTACATCTGGGTCCTCCCCTTCTTTGGCAATTTAGGTGAGTTTGTCTCTTAGTTTCCCATATAAGACTTTCTTGGCATGTCTGGTGCTTGCCACCAGGCCCCTGTGGTGAGGCAGGCTGGCAGCTGGCGTGAGCCCTGCTTGGGAAGGACTGTTAGATCCAGGCCTGCAGGTGCTTAGGGGACATCTGAGGAGGGAGCAGAGTCCATTGGCTGTAACTGAGTTGGCCACTCAACCTCCGGCCTCCTGCAGTTACCCTGCCCCACTGAGCTGGATTCCCAATTGCCATCCCGACGCCCACCCCAGAAATGGGTCTTCCCGAGTGGCACAGACACGCAGAGTCCCTGCTCACTACCTGTGCATCCTAGGTGTCTGGGCTGGTGCTCACTGTCCTCTTTTTTCTTCTCGCCCAGGATTTCCATTGTAGACAGGCTGCCGTGGGCAGAAGTAAGCAAGGCCACGTGGCCACACTTTTTAGAAGACCCTTGCTAGGAAGGTAGCTCTGCGAGCAAAGGACCAGCCATCTGTTGGGGTTACTTTTCTTCTTCTCCCTTCCTGACAAAGGTGACTTGAGGACGGCATAGTTTATTTGGGCTCACAGTTGCAGGGAGACAGTCCATCGAGGCAGGAAGCCATGGCAACCAAATAGAAGGCAACTGCTCACACCACACAGGAAGCAGAGACTGATGAGTACTTCTGTTCAACTCACTTTCTCCTTTTCATCATGTCTGAGACCTCAGCCCATGGAATGGTGAGTGTCCCCACCTCAATTAACCTAATCTAGATCGTCTGGAGTGGCAGTCATATCTTGTGTTTGTTGGCCAGCCAGTCTTGTCTTCTCAGTGGGCCCCTAGGGAATGACACTTGAGGTTGTCCTTTGGCCTTTACATACATGTTCACAGAGGAGCCCAAACATACACATGCATACACAGAAAGAAAAGGAGGTAGGCAGGCAGGGGGAGCTGGCTACGTTGCCTTTCTCTGCACTCTACACAGATCCTTTGAAAAGGACGTTATTGGTGAAGGTTTCTGGGGCACGAGGCTTGCCAGAGAGCCTTCGTTAAAGGCTTGTATATTGGCAGGAAGCATGGTCCCTACTTTTCCAAGCAAAGCCAGTTCTTGTAGCAAATTGAAATGATAGTCTGTGCATCATTTTACTGATGACTTCCAGCTGTTGAACCTTTGAACCTTTGCTAGATGTATGGGAAGCGCCTGCCCTTGGCCTGACACCCATCAAACAGGGCCGTGTCAGAATTTAATAGAGGAAAGTGTAATAGAGGAAAATTACTTTTTTACTTTTATTTTATGGTACTAGCAATGGTACCTTTGAACCCCAGGGCTTTGTAGAGTGCTTTGAGGCACGTTTAAGCTTGCACGTTTCTCTGTGGGGTATGATAGGCAGGCTATAAATGCCTTCTCTGATTATGTCATTTCATATTCATAGCTAAGTGATGAGTTGGTACTGCCATGAACATTGGTATGTCACTGTGGGAAAGTGTAGTTATAGGATAAATTTCCAGAAGTGAAATTATTATACAAAAAAGGGAATTGTATTTTTAATTTTGCAAGACATTGCAGAATTCGCTGCTGTAAGGATGATAGCATTTTTTTTTTTCCATTCCAATCAACAATACGCAGCAGTACCCTTTTTTTGCAATGTGCCTGACAGACGGTTGTAACGATTTGGATTGTTGCCAGTCTGATGTGACTGTAAACAGCTTTGTTCAAAGTGGCTTTTTATCTTTGTTTTGTTCTGGAGACAGAGTCTCTCTACATAGCCATGGTTGTTCTAGAACTCACTGTGTAGATGGAGTT